TATATTTCGCTATATGTTTTATACATCTTTTTATACATTTATGCTGTATTATTGCATTACTATTACAATTGCTACATTTCTTCACAAAATTTCTGACCAATACTAGTATTTTCAACGCATGTGCTAATATATTTTCGTCAGTTTCACGCAATACCTTGCTATTTATAACGCTAGAACAAGTTAAACAGTTCATTCTGAAACCACGAAATTCTTCTCAAAGAGATTTGGAAAATACCAAATGTCCAAATATCCTATTTGAAGGCAGAAAATGCCTGCGGGGCATTTTCAACTCTACCCACTCTCTCGAAAGTGACACGGCCATTTAAAATCGACACGATATTAAGGCCCGTTTTGCAACCAGTCTGAAAAAAACTCGGCTCTCAGAGAGTAATCGCATGCAGATTGGCTTGAAAAGCCGTTGCAAATTAAAATTCTCGAACGACTCTGTTTTCGCGCGAGCATGTAACGAGCCGGGAATCATGTTTCCAATCCCTTTGGGAATATTCTTCAAACAGTACGTGGTTGTTTGTCTTTGGATTTTACTTTCATGTTTTCATGTGAATTCCGACTGACTTACCTATATATTGAGCAAAAATTGCGGAATATTGCGGTAAATCGCTGTCAGAAACTACCTTAAGAATGAGGGTTTAATGAGTGAATGGGTGCCGGGTCATATGAAATTTAATTAAGCAAACGCAACGCGGGCTCTATATTACCGGCAGGTAGGAAGACGGCTAGGGAGAACCATCTGAGATTTTTAATATCAAATTCAACGGAGGTTACGCTTTATCGAGCGCGAAACTAAGGAAACTCGTGAGGGACATAATCGTAAAGGAAAGAGAGAGTGGAGGCTCTATCGAGCTCGTTCCATGGAAATCCTCTTGCGCCTTCTTTTCTGCTGGCTAACGATAGAGAAAAAAAAAGAGAAATATCCAGAGATGTGCCTCCACCCTAAACGTACACACGTAGAATAGGATCGCCGCAAGAATCGTCCGAACTTCCTTCTATCCTCTCCCATGTGAGAGCGATGAAAATCGTGACGTACAGTTCGTTCGAGTTTGCCGGTAATTCGAATCAAACCAATCGGCCAGAAAACAGAGAAACGTAGGAAACGTGGATGGACGAGTGTGCACGGAACGGGTTGAAAGAGATCATGAAAGAGAGAAAGGGAGAGAGAGAGAGAGAGAGACAGACGGACTTAGTTGGTCCGAGGGGGTGGAAATTTCAACGCCGTCACTGGTTTTATGTCATTTCTGCCATTCGGCGGCTTCCATTTCCAGTCTGGGCTACTACAGCTCGTAATTCAAACACGACCCACGAACGAACGAACCACACCGCCGCCGTCGTCGTCGTCGTCGTCGTCGTCGTCGTCGTTGACTTCCTCTCCTACATTCTCATCCCCTTTAGCTCGTAACTCACGCCGACTTGCTCACTCTTTGGCGTCCGGTTTTCCTACAAACTCTCTCTCTCTCTCTCTCTCTCTTTCCCTCTCCCTCTCTCCCCCTTCCATTCCCTCTTCCTTCGTTTCCTCGATTCCGTAGCTAAACCCGATAAATTCGATATTTGTTTCAACTTGCGCCGCACTTCGTCGAACCTCTCCTGCCCACCCCTCCTCTCGCGACGCCCGACGAAGCAACGTTCGGTTTCTGTTTTTCCCCAGTTCGGCTCGCGAGCTCACGGACTCGAAGAAAATTGTTTTCCGTGGAGGGAAACGGAACTGGCCGCGCCACACATGGCTCGCGTCAGACGCATGCCCCTCCCCGATGATGGACGCCTGCCATTACTCATTGAACGTATAAACGCGGATATATACGGTTCATATAATGCCCCGGCTGTGCCACGGAATTAAACGCTCCAGCTGCACCGAGCATCTACCCTTTTCCGAGTAGCTTCGTAAGGAAAAAATTCGTTGCGCGAGAGCGAGAAAAAGAAAAGAGGGCGAGAGACGATTGATGGCTCGTGTGTTGGATCGAGCGCGAGACGAGTATTGAATTTGTTGGGTAATTAGTAAACTAATAGACTGGACGTCGATCAGGAGGATGCCACGAAATTGCACAGCTAAGGAATTGACGTCGAATAAAGATCGATGCAGCTGTGTGTTGATGTAACGTTTTATTGGTTTCATTGATTTATGTGTCTGGAAGAAATAGACGTATCACTACTCGACGATATTAATCTCGCGCAGTGACGCTTGAAATCCATACGAGTTGGTCTTCAGCCGTGATAAATGCAGCAGCACTGCGTAAGTAGAAAGTCTCAGCGTATGACGGGACACGTCCAGTCTTTCGTTTAAGTTTGCTCCCGATGTACATTAGATAAAAGTTATCGGTGCAAATGTGTACGTTCAAGATCTTCTTTCAATATTATCAGAATATTTTCGCGAAAATTTCTCAAAATGAAATTACAAGTACCGCCCTAATAAGTATCACATCATCTGCATTACCTTTGTTCTCGATGTATTTGTTACTTAATTAATTACATTTATAAGCACGTGTGGTTTCCTCATTTTTGACAAGTATTTTTACAATTTTTCCGCTTAAACTTGTTACAGTGAGATTGTAAAAGACCCACATGGTACTTTTGTTCCCCGGTTATGCTTATCATTTAATTAACATTTCTAAGATCAGCGAAACATCCAGCATACGTGGTCGACGAAACACGAGACAAAAGAGTGGGAACAGTTCTTTGATTATGATTTTTGCGAGCGTGCGTGTCGCGAAAGCAGAGAATTCAGCCGGCTTGAAGAAGGCGGGAAAAAAAGAGAAAAATGGAAAAAAAAGTATCCTGCGTGGCATTCGCCTCTCTGTGTGCACGTACACGGTGCCCGTGCACAGGCACAGAATGGAATTATTTGTTGGTTATTCACGTCGAGTGGAGGACGAATGGTTTTGACGTGAAAAACGAGAGAGCTTTTCTACTCTTCCCGCGACGCGTGACCGTGGTATTTTTAACGGCGTAACGTGATATTCGTCGTGCTTAGACCTTTGCCTTCGTGCAGCTTTTCATCTGTGTTCGTTCGCGTTTTTAATTTGCATATCCCGGCCTTTCAATTCTTCTGCAAATATTTTTATTAAAATGTATATGTATTCGCGCGGACGCGAACATCTTTTAACGATAATATCTATGAGACATTAGTTTGCAAATGAACGTTTACAAGGGGAACATTTGCAAAGGCACTCGATCTTTGTGAAGCAGATGATAGCATCAAAACATCAATTTTTCACGCTGCAATGAAACTTTTTTATTATTGTTAAACTCCCGAGAGTGGAATTTTATTCCAAGGACCGCGTCAGTCTTCTTGTTTGAAATATACCACGTTCTCCTTACGGATGGCACTTGTTCTCGCGTGAAACTGGCGTTGAAAAGAATTATTCCTCGAAATGCTTCCAACTGTGTCCAAGAATGCCCGGCACTCGTGCCTTAATGTTTATCAAACTTTCGTCGTTCGCTGTTCATCGCGAGATTTGAACTTTATAAATGTAAAGTTCGCATAAATGCCAGTCACAAAGTGGAGGATAGCAGCAGCGTTAATTACTGCAAGTACTTTGACATCGTTCTTCGTGCAGTGTATGAGCTAGCTATCAAAACTAACTGTACACACTATATGAGTTGTTGTCAAAGTGTGCTTGCCAAAATAAACGTAAATCTAACACGACTTTTTAACAAATTTCCCTCTGGCAGTTTAATTAAGAAATAGAGAAAAATATGAGTGTTCGTCAAAATTGCTACTATCCTAAATACAAAAACCGTCTTAATCATTTTATTTTCCGAAGATTTCACAATTTTATATATCTAGAATAATCTCTCATTTCTTTTATTTTTAATCAGAAAATTAATTCACACAGATACATCACAGACATCTTTCAATTAACATGCAATTAGATTTCTCAAAAAGAAACGACAGTTTTATTTATCATAAAAAAAAAAAAAAATCACAGAATACTTTTCTCTGCTATGTCTAACAATATACAAAACTGATCGATATGAGGAAACAATTACCGACAAATCGAGTCGTAAGAATCGGATAGTCGCGAGCAATGCGTCTACGGATAACCAGAATCGGCTTGAACACGAGCGTATGATTAAACGTATCCGTCTTCGAGACTGTTTTGCAGTTCATTCCCTCGTTTCGCTCGTGCAGTAAGACAGGTTCTTAGATCTTATTGCACGAGCCTGTAAACGCCTCGGTCTCTCTCGGAGCAGCTTGCTATTTCCAGACGAGCCTCCGTAATTCCGTTTCTGCTTGATGTTCCTGTCAAATGATGGTTAGGCGCAAATGTTACCAATATCCTTGGCTCATTCGCCGAAGCAGTCGATATATAGTGGCTAATTAACTCCGGGATCTGCGGTATCGTGATATGCCGCGAATTTGTCTGCAATTTGCCAGATGCCTCGTGTGTGGCAAGTAAGAAGATTAATGATAGGATTATTCGACCAGAGAAATTTTGATCTATGAGTCCGTTGCTCGGTTTCGGTGGACGTGCAAAGTATTTTCAACTTTATCTGTTAACCGGATCGTTTCGTTATTGGGCACATGGTACATATATGGTATACACGCGAAGTTTAAAACTTCAATTAGATTAATTGAAGAAGATTGATTTAACTTTCAACAGTTGCAAAGGGAAGTATGCTAGGAGAAATAAAAGTGACACAGTGAGACTTGTAAACGACAAATTTTCGTTTACTCTAGATTGAAATCTAAAATTAATGGAAGAACATGTTTGAACAACATATTCCAGAGTGTAACAATTTTCATTACAACTTTCTAAACAGTTGTTTCGATCTTTCTAATGGAAGAATTTCATCTGAAAAGTAATACTACATGTCGTATCACTTTCTCGATTTACGTCTCTAAACAAGTCTAGATGTTATCCTATTTCACACATGTCGACGTTCTCAAGTCCTCGATCGTTAAACAGATCGTAGGTTCAGGTGATCACTGATATACGCAGAGTAGGAAACGATAATATTGTCCGTACATGATCTCGTGCTAGTAATTAGGTGCACGCTGGCTCGGTATAGGCCTGGTTCGGTTGTTGTTTAGCGAGAGTCGTGATGTTATCCCCTCGATAGCATTGAACGGTCGAACCGAAGATCAGGTTCGTTCCCTTCGGCTTGCTATACATCCGTCGGACGATACCTAACCGCCAGATGCTGCCAATATCCTTGGATCGCTTGCTGGAACAGCAAACACGGTAGCTAACTGGTTCGAAGCAGCGCGGTATTCGCACAGGCGGCAAAGGAACCAAATTTCTCGAGCGTAACCTCGTGATAGTCGAGAAACTCGCTACGTCTGCAAGTCGCGATCATCGCTAAATCATCGTCATATAAACAGGAATTTCGATCAAACTGTAATTATTTTTTTAAGTTGTTCTTTGACCTCTTTCAGTCGAAACTATTGTACAGCCTTGATTCGGTTGAGCTTTCTCAGCACGTTGGGCTAGTTTTAATTCGATCTACTTAAAATCTTGCTGTTGCATAGGCATCGCGATTGTGCGTCATTTGTAAAATAGTGATGAAAGTTTTTTCATTAAAAAAGAAAAGAACACAGCAAAATTTTTACATCTTCCACTTTATTTAGTTTGTATATGAAACAATAACCCTTTGTACCATGCATCGCCAGAAACTTCAGTTTTCACATACCTGTTTGGCACCAAAAAAGAAGATGTTTAGTGAGACATTTTAAAAGAAATGTGTTTGGTATTTGTTTATGCAGTATATTTTACTACTTTACTTTATTTTTCCGGGAGGAATTTCGGCGTTACTTTACTAATTGTAAGAGAGTATTGTATCTTGTGCCATGTTAAAGAAAATGATTAAACATACATTTATAAATATTTTTTTTTAACTTTTTTCGCATACAAATTTTTAATCTCTTCAGAATAATATAATAAAGTTACTTTAATTTCAACATCCTCATTTTATACTACTTTCACAAAAAAAGTGTCAGCCTGTATAGTCATAGAAAACTAACGCTATCGTGGAATTCGAAATTTCAAAATGGCGCATGAAATAAGAAGCTCTTCTTCCAATAAAGAAACTAAACTAAGTTCCAATAACGAAAGACACTAAAACGTATCCAAAATTACGTAGGCACTACTAAATTTAATTCAAGAAGAAATCTTGTTCAAGTGACTTCTTAATTATTCTTAACGATAGTGTAATGTTTGTCCACAATGTCTCTCGGTTATCACAAAAATTAACGAAAGCAATTAACAATGGCTGCACAATCTGAACAGCGAACGAACTTCCCTTCTTTCGCCCAGGTATCCAGAGAGAAGTTGCAGGGAATTTCGTCTGTCTGTCTACTCTCTAGTGGTTCGACGATGTTCCGACGATAACGATCGTCAATAATCGATAACCTATAGCTGTGAACAGCGATGTCTTTATCTTCGGCTCGACGTTCTTGTCGTCCTTGTGTTGCTGGATGCTACGTGTGTTGCTCGTCGGCCATGAAACGAGCAACGCGTATCGCCGATGTATTTATACGACGGTCGATCGGCGGAGCACGTTGAAGCTTCTTCTTTCGCGAAAACGATCGCACGACAGGGAATAATCCCTGTGTACGTACATTGTGTAACACGTTGATCGTGTTCCCTAGTCGCCCTGCTACCTATAGCCAAGGATAATATTTTGCTCGACACGCGAACGCGTGTCGAACAATTTCCCACTTGTTGTTGTTGTACTTTATTCGTTTGAAGTTATATCCATTGAGCAACTGCGTTAGGTTGTTCGAGAAGTTTCTTTCGTTTCGTCAATGAATAATGTGTGCACGGTGTTTTGTGCTTTGCGTCGTGTTATTCAATTATGATCTATTTTCGAACTACTGTCTTTCTTTGTCTTCCCGGAAGACTCATAATTTTCAAAATTTCCAGGATTTGCTGATACATAATATGAAATATTGTTGGAGATGTGTGTGAATGAAAGGAATAAATAATAATCATATGGGGATGTTCTGTCTCGTTCTTCATGTTATATTGTCTGATTACTATCATCTGTTTTCTTTTCATTGAAAAAGTGAAACTTCTGCGATGAAAGATTTGACACGATAAATGACATAAAACATTTCGCCAGATTTTGAAGAAAAATGACATTATGAAGCTTCAGACGAAGGTAATAAAACAAAGTGGATCGTATGCAATTTAATAAAATCTAATAAAATATAAAATATTGTGCATAGATTATTCATTAATAAAACGAAAGAAAGAAATTTTTGGAACGATCCAATATTATTGAACTTTAATCCTTCGATCGTGCTGTTTAATTGCGTTCGAGTATCTAGTGGTAAAATTAATTGCGGGCCAGTACTCAGTTATGGTTTGTTTTTAAAGTTCTTTTAAATCCAATTAGACATTATAACACGTTAATTACTTTTATTATAATTTTAATTGCCGCTTTATAATTTTTCCTAGTAATTGAAAAATCTTGTTTGAAACTTCCCCTCATTTTTTGTTAGGTTATGAAATATAGAAATCATTGCTTGTTAACTAGTGCGCGTGTAAAACACTTTTGGTCAAATAAATTTCATTGTACAACGAAGCGCAGAATCGATGTCCAACTCTTAGAAAATAGATGATTTATCTAACTAAATAGATAATTACTACGTCGTAACACTAAGTGGAGCCAACATTTACGACGTCATTACTTTCCTATGCTTTCCAATTCGCAAACTCGATCAGCGTGTGTCCTACGAGCCCTCGGGCTCGCACACACATGGAGCACGAACGTTTTTAACGTTTCATTGAAAAGCGCGTCGGCCCATCCCACGCCCTCGCTAAGAACAACGAACTAACTATTAACGCCAGGACATTGTGCTCACTCGCAACAAAGCATCGCAGATAGCATTCCGAACGCTAATAGACTGTTTCTTCGGCGTCTGTGTAGCGAAAGACGTCGCTTACATCCTCGAAAGAAGAAGAACAGAGACGGGACACATTCGAAACACGAAATTGTTATTTATCCGAGAGTGTATGTCTCGATAAATGCGGAGAAGGTAGTGGAACACGTAGCCGGCGAATGTCGACGAAATCGACGACAATTTTTCGAGAGAGCGGCGGACGGAGCAGCCTCTCTCATTCCCTTCGACCTCGTGAAATAGCGAGACAGTCTCGTGCCGTGTATCCAATCGAGTTGCCAGAGTTTCTGACGTAGTATCTTCGCAATCAGTAACTCGATGCGCCAGAAAATCGTGTTCCGAGGTCATCGCCGATCGAGCTTCCACCGTTGCCCAATCTTCTCCCCCTCCCTCCCTCCCTCCCGGGGGTTTGATTTTTTTCCATTTTCGTTTCATTCTCTCGTCTCCCTCCGCCTCCTCGCCTTCGACTTTCTTCCATCGCCTGCTTCACCTCGTTCTTTCTTTCTCTTTCTCCTTTGTCTGGTTCGTCTCCGATCCGTGGTAGCCGGGCTTCGTCCAGGGTCCGTAATGGGCGTACCTTCGGCTTCCTGGGCCGTCAGGAGCGTAAGTCAGAAAAGGGAGGGGAGTTCCGCTCGGTTCGTCGCTCTCTCTTTTTTTTTTCTTTTCATCCTTCCTCCTCTTTTTTTTCCTTTCTCTCTCTCTCTCTCTCTCTCTGATTTTTTTTCTCTCTTTCTCTCAATTGGTCCAAGTTTTCGGATGAAACGACTTATTCCAGTCGATCCAATCTGTTCTATTCTACTTCACCCCGTGTAACCATGCCGTTGGAGAATCCTTTGTCGTTTGGATCGCTCGACGTCAGATCTCTCTCTCTCTCTCTCTCTCTCTCGGCGACGGATGCTGGACGGAATGCGATTTCTAGCCTTCGGTTTAATCGATCGATCGGTCTCTGCCTCGGCGAATCCAAGCCGGTAATTAAGTCTTTGAAAATTTTTCTCTTCGCGTGAAATTTCGCCGCTCTTCAAGGGTGGAAAGATCGAAGCCAGCGCGAAGAACTTCGCAATGTGGCGAGAGGGGGAGGAGAGGAGAGGCAAAAGTTCCACCGAAGTTCTTCCGCGGTCTATTTTACCAACCCTCGGAGATCCAGTTTTTCGTCCTAATGGTCCTTCTGTCGAATTAGTCAATTTGATTTACGAATCGACGTAATAAAACTTCAATCGGTGATATTCAAACGTGATAAATATTGAGGAAAGTTGTAAAAAACTCAATTCAACATTGGCCACGCTTTCTGCTACTTTTCGAATCTTATGTCAATCAAATGCGGCATTGATCTCCAATCTTTCGCGACAAGACGTCACGAGTATTCGATCTATTGAATGAAGGTAAAAAATAAATTGGAAGTCTCTGATTGGAAGTATTTTTATTAAGTCTGCCATTCCAATTTTTTTAAGACTTTTTACGTTACCTAAACCTAACCTAAGTTAACAAAATTCAAACATATAAATAGAGGAAGTTTCTTAGTTCAACAGAGTCGCTTCAAAGTCAAACCTGTTTGCTTTATTTTACTTTCACCGCGCGATGAATCTTCAATTTTCCTCGGGAAGATTACACGGGTGAAATTCCAAGATAAATAATTTAAAAATAACGATCCCTGCATTTTAATTTATGAAACTGATCCTTTCGGCATCTCGCGGAAAAGAGATAGTTGGATCCAATTTCGTTGGATTTGCGACTTATTCCCTATTTACACGGTTGTACGAAAGCCGAGCCAGGTCGAGTCGCATCGGTGGCAGTCCTAATTGGTCGAACGATCCTGTACGATCGTGATCTCGGTATTCGACCGTTCCTTTTACGATCCGGTGCCGGTCTTAAAATCTTTCGGCCACCCTATCTAATGGACGGTTCATCTTTTCTACGACAGTCCGAACGAACGAGGCGGAGAATAACTTCTTTCACTGTTCCCTCTTCTCGGCCATTATTCCTTTACCGTTGGACAAAGTCGTGGAACCCGGCCGACTTATTCCACTCGATCCGTTCTATATAACCGCGCGTCGTTCTCTTCGTTCGACCGTCCATCAAGGATCTAGTTAGCCGAACTAGAGGAAACGCACACGCTTCGAACACGACTCGGTAAACACGTTCTCGTTTATAGATATTCAGATATTTAACGATTGTAGAGATCTTTTATGAACATATATTATTGTAAACGAAACATTTCGAAATTTCATTAGCACTGTAATGTGAAGCTCGACTGTTACGATTATAATGATGAAGTTTGAAATAAATGCGAAAATGCATATAGAAATTTAGAGATATTTACAAATATTATTATTGCATACAGGTATTTATTTTATGATCGTACGATTGAGAAATCCAGTGAGAGATATGTTACAAGATGTTTGAAAACATAGCAATCTTCGGAAAGATTTCTATTATGCTGCTATTATAACACCGAGACGTGCCAAAATTAATAAAAATTCTATTTTAAAAATTGACCATAAAATATCGAGAAACGAGGTCTCGTTATCATCCCTTAATTTAACGTAGCACAATGAAAAAGAAAATAGCACAGTCTGAATTACGAAAATTCTCTCTATAAAAGTAGTATCTCAAAAGCTTCTTTTTTAACACTGGATGCTCTTTCTATGCTCAAATAATCCTGTCACTATCGTTAACAATATCAAAATTACGATTAATCCCTTAAGCGTTTTGTTTTATTTTGAAAATGTACACTGGTGTGCTTAATTATTTCTAGGCGATGACGAGTATACTCGTCGAAAGCACAGTAAATACACTTGCTGTAAGATTGAATTAAATTATAAAAAAATGATAAATTTTTTTGGTCTTTGAAAAATTGTTGATTTTATTGGTTTTATTTTACTTCTTTTTTTTTTTGTTTTGTTGCTTTGAAATATTCTAAAAATGTGCTAAAATTACATATAATTTCTTTGCCTAGATTTTACGATAAATAGCGGAAGCGAATTTTTTTTCTACATGACGAATATATTCTAAATTAAACAAAAAAATTCCACTTCTTCTTGACGAGTATACTGATATATACGACACAAACTGTTAAGGGATTAACAATACCATTGTACCACATATATTAACATCAACAATTATCATCGACAAAATTCGGTGATTAAAAAATCACAAAAAACAAAGATGACAAAGTATTAAAGAAATCGGTGTATCTGCTCGCGCGAGTAAATATTATTTCGCCAAACTGCTTTATCATCCCGCAGTACGTAGTATCCCCCGGCGCGTTAATGTCAAAATTTTCGGCGAGCAAACAAACAGCCATCCCGATCACTCCCGAGCACGCTCTCCAATTCGATAACCATCGATGCAACACACAACGGTGGGAAGCTGCCTGCGTTTCCACGTCGGAAGAAAACTTGGCACTCGGAGTGATCCCTGGAGGTTGCCGCCTTGCTCGCTCGGTCGGGAATGGTCGATAGACCAGAGAACCGGGGGCTAAGCCAGGAAAGACGGTTAACGCTGGCGAAACAGGATGGGTTCGCGTGGCATTCGAGACCCCGTCGCTTTATTAACACGTCTTACACGGTAACGGGATCTCGAGCCCGTTAAGAGCCAGGTATATACGGCGTGGCAGCTGTTGCTAACGCAATTTTCCCCTGATATAAATCCTCCTTGCCCCCGCGATATTGAATCAAGCGATATTCGCTGGTTTCGCACGGAACGCAACGATTAATCCAGATTGTTTGCGGAAGGGTCGACTGAATACTCTGGTTACGAAAGGCGCTCCCTTGTTTTTATATATCTTTATTAGATGCTATCTTTCGTTTATTATTGTCTTGGTTATTCATTACGTCCTTACGGTCGTTTCTTAATATGAGATCGTACTACCAAATCACTCGAGGATTTGGTACCAAGCGGGGTCAAATGACCCCTTTTCAAAATTTACTTTCAAAATCGTACATTCGTTGTTATTTCTGTCGCTAATCTGACTTTTTGTAAATTCTTTGTAATTCTTCTCTACTATCTGATTATTCAATTTCTCGTTTTCTGTTTTTCTCTTAGCTTATTTTTACCGAGAAAAATTCTTCGCACCGCGAGGGATCATTTGAACCCTTAAGATAGGTATATGTAAAATGCCGGTACGTTTAGTGTTAAGATTTCTTCGAGTAAATAAATGATCAATTCGTAATATTAAAGTTGCGTTAATTGTATTGAAAAAATCGGTGTTATAAATATAATATTGTTATTTCCGGGAAAAACGTGGGAAGAAGTTTATTAATAATAGATATAACAAAATATAACGTATATATATGTGTGTGTATGTGTGTAATCAAGTAATTAGATCTTATTAAATATCCTCAATTATTGCTTGTGTATTAGAATAACTTAAAGAGATAAATAAAAGAAAAAATCTGATGTTAGAATTTTCGGATACGTAGAAAAGGAAATATAATACATAGTAATTTATTGTGAACGCACTCGTGTTGTTAAGAGCACATAGAGGGGAGAGAAACTCTGTATCGAAACGAGAAGGGACAGCTTGTCAGTCGTGACCTAGATCTGTTAATAAGCGTATCTGTCGTATCTAAGCGATTAAATTGTCAATTGTCAAGTATTTTCTGTTATTGGAGAGGAACTCTTCGTTTTTGCAAATCATGCGTGCGAGTATAAAATTATCCAGTCTCCAAGGATTAATGTAATAGTAGCACTATTATTAATACAACTGAGATGTAAACTGTGTATATCGCGTAATGGTATTTCTTTATCTTGGAAAATTATATTTCAAAATAATGAATCTACAGAATTTTCAAAGTTTATCTTATCGAAGAAAGCATCTTCATCGTTCAATGTTTCTCGTTTATAGATAAATATTGTTTCTAGATAAATTAAATGGTCGCACGATTGTGAATCTTCGTAACTACAAGAATTCAACGAACAACAAACTTTTGAAAATGTTGTTTCTTTTATGAAAAATTCATCTTGTATGAAAAATTCTAATAACAATATGATGAAACACGTTTTATTATGATCTTCTTTCCCCATGAAAATGTCTTCTATTTTCCACAATCTTTCCCGTCGTGACATTGAAAATCCCTTGTTACAGTATCTTACAATAAGGAATCCAGATTAAAGCCGGAGAAAGAAGCCTGGTCGAAATTTTCATCCTTATCTACTCATAATCCACGTCTCTTTACCATTCATGGAGATATCGTATAAACAGGATATACCTAAGAGGTCTTTTAACAATATTTCCAGAAAGAGACTAAATAAAAGCAAGTATAAAGTTTAGACAATATTAAGATTTATCTGTTCCGTAATCTAACGACAAGCTGTTAGTATTGTTATAAGGTTTAGGTTAGGTTTTGTTTTCGTATTTGTGATAGGGTGAGAAGATAGGGGTGAAAAAAAAATTCAAAGTTGAAGTATAAGTCGTACAGTAATTACAACATTTATTGCTATATTGTAATAATAATTATAATCAAGCGTTCTAAGCTATAACTCGAATGCGCAATGCAAAACGACAGTCTGGTGAATATTTTTCCTAAAATAAATATAAGACGAAAGAATTTAAGATACCGAATCACTTTAATTCTTTCATTATCTTCA